AAAGTAACGCAGCGAAAATTCTAGATTAGACCGGCTCAAACATAAACACGGTGAATGAACGACTAAACGATATTGTTACTTATGTAATTTATGCAATTTTTATTGTGTTGGTGAAAATGACATTATTTGCATGCTATGGTAAGTCTCCTACCTAACTAACAATTGGATTCTCTCTCTAGGCCACTACCAAGTTTATTTCACGTTTAGTGAATGCTAACGAGTAGGATTAAATTTCTCTCTCTTTCAGTTTTATATTTGAACGATTACGATTATGTCATGTCAATATTTTACAGTTGATTTTTTTATAGAAGTAGAAATAAAAAGAGAAAAGTGAAAGAGGAGGAAAGAAGTAGGGAGGATAAGAGATTTAGAGAAGAGAGAATCATAATCCGAACGTTAATAAAACAGTAGTAGTATTGTTACTGCAAAATGCAGTGTTAAAAAAAATTTCACAGCCTTTTGATCATTCTGATTCTCTCTCTCTCTCTCTCTGCCATGAATCTCTAGGGTTTACTGCATCAATGATTAAGATTTTCAGAGAAGGGGGGTTGGGGAGGGTAATAGGACGGTAGGGTCCACCACACCTTATCAGTTCCAGGTGTTGGCCCAAGTGGTGGGACCCGGATGCTGGTCTTTGCCCGAACTAATATACAACGTCACTGACAAACAGGTGGATCATTCCTCATCTTTTTTTTTTCATCACTTTTCTTTCTTTCTTCTTTTTAATGGTGCAGTTGCTGACACCATTGAGGGGATCGGTGGTGAGTTTTAAATTTATTTAATAAATCTACTGGGTCGTGGTCCACCATCTCATCAATCAATCTCAACCCTTCATTTTTTATGAAACCACCTTTTGATTGGGCACCATTGAATGATTGGGTATCCTACGTGGAGAGATTTTTCAAATGTTTTCGGAATAAAGAGCGATATGTTATATGTCATTATATAAGTGGAGAAAAATATTTTTTTTAATGTCTCTTTATTTGTATTATGACATATATTGTATATTTTCAAGCTCAATGAAGGGTGGGAAAATTGTGGGAATATGGTGTTTTTAGTTTCATGCCCACAACGTTCAAGTTGTTACTGAAATAATTACCAAAATTTTATATATAGTTGGCAACCATGCATAAATCTATGAATTTTCTTTCTTTTTAAGAAAAACTAATGAAAAATATTTGAAAACTTTGAATTTTAATCAAAATGACAAAAATGTGTTGTAAGTGAATGGTAACATGAGTGACTTTTTAAAGTAAAAATGTCATTTTTCGTTAAAATGAATAGTACCGGGAGTGTTTCGTTAAAACTCTCTTCTTTTTATGATAGTGGATAAATTAGTTTATGCTTTAAAAACTTCAAAAACCAAAATAATACAAGGATTGTGCTCTTTGCACCAATTGGATTCCATACATTTAACTGATAGTTCCATATTATTACAATTAGGGATTATATTCTTAATCACACAAGGGACGATTGTCAATGACCTTTGACAAAGGGCGTATGACATAATTAATCTTAGTAATGTCCCATCGAACATGACTTAATGGTGGTTTGGTTGTGGTTGGTGGGGTTTGTTTAATTTGCAAACGAAAATTATTTGCATTTAAAAAAATATACTATGCTTCAATGTATAAGTATAGGAGTAATTGATTGTTAGATGTGCACTTGACTATCGATCAAATGAACAATGATCCATTCAACAGTCAAATTAAGACTATGACACTTTACCGCAGTAATGGAAAGTAAGTTCGATACCCACTGATCTCTGTCTCTCCTAGCAACTAACAATGTAATTACTAACACTATCGTTTGTCAAGAAAAAAAAACAGCAAAGCCTCCGATGTGTACATTGATGCATGTTGATGAGTCCATATTATACCACATATTTTACTCTATTCTTAGTATATTTTGGTTATTATTTTAGTAGAATTTTGATATTTTGTTTTATATTTTCAACATAGGACATTCAACTTCCTCTGAAGTAAAAAGTGTTCAAACGGATAAATTTTGGAGTGATTCCAATTGGAGGATGTTCGTGTGCCTTTCAACATGATTGTGTCAAAATTCTAGATTTTTCTACCAAGCCGTTTGACTGTGGTAATGAAAAGAAGGTCCAGCGTGCAGCTTTTCCAGATTGACGTTTATGGATATTTTGAGTATTTTGGAGGTCACATGTTAAAGGATTGATCAAATTATTTTGGTATTTGTCGTTTCTACCTTACTTCCCAGTTAAAGTTGAAAACGAGTTTTTCTTTTCAATGAATTATTTGTAGATGGACTGAAAGAATTAATGACTCGTTCTTGAGTTAAACAGTGTAACTGGATGAAACTTGAAAGGAAGATAAAGGTTTTACGGGGTCTACGGTTTCTGCATAACTTTGGAGTCTTGGATTAGTCGGGATCAATGCAAATCTTGGTAGTGCTCTTAGTTAATTGTAGCCCATCGCTGTTTTATATATATATAGGTCATTTAACACATAATTTTGGAGTCTTGGATTAGTCGGGATCAATGCAAATCTTGGTAGTGCTCTTAGTTAATTGTTGCCCATCGCTGTTATATATATAGGTCATTTAACAAAAGGGATTTCCAATTTTTTTTTTTTTTAAAAAAAAACTCTTGTTATATGATATATATATATATATATATATATATATGGTAAAAAGTTTACGGGGAATAGGGGCTACCCCTCCCGCATCCTGGGATGAGGCCCATGAGGGCAATACCAAAACATAGGGGGTTTTAAGCCTTTAGGGGGGGTCTTACCCTTTTTTCAGGGTTTTAAAGATCATCCATCAAGAGAAATTGTTGGCAGCAAAACTCGAATTTAGGTCTTGATTATGCAAAGAACGATCCTTATCAACTTAACCAATCTTCGTACGCTCGCTGTTATATATTCTTAGTGGTCCTTTGATGAATAAAGTACAAAGATACAAGTGTAAAGTGATCACTTCTAGTTATCGTGTATTAAATATGCAGATTTATCAAATATAAAAATCTAATTTCATTAGTTGTATTAGACATACGTGTGAATTCTTTTTATAATATTCCATATCGAATAAAAATGCCATGTTCATAAGATTTATCCAAACTACCATTAAGCTTGTGTTTGGTTTTTGCAACAAAAGGATATTGTAGTAGATCGAAGAGAAGTAGTAAAAAGGAGAGAGGTTTTTGAGAGGTACAATTAAGTGTATGGATAGCACCACTTGTAATATATTCAGAAAAATTAATAAAATCATCCTTAATAAACAAGCGAAAAAAATATCAAATATATATCAATAAATAAAACACTGATACACAAATTAAGAGAGAAATATCGGGAATCAATTTCTATGATTCTGATCATCCAATAAAACTAGCATTTGTAATTTGCTTGATTATTTAAGAAGGAAAATGATAATCACGCACAAATTTTCTCCTGTACACCTATTTATTTCCAAGCATCATACTAAATCAATATAACAGAAACAACAAACACAAGTGTGTAGGGTGAGATAAAGGGGAGTGTGCCTGATTGTCATTTCCCTATAACAATAAACATACGAATGGCTAATATTCTCATAACATTTCTTCGAAACTTATGTGCATAAGTTGCAAGCTACTAATCAAACACTACATATTTATCGAGAAGCGAATTTCAATCACGCATGGCTAGTTCTTAGTACGTTTTTTGTTTATTAATATTCTTGTAACATTTCTTCAAAACTTTTGTATGACTGCAGGAAGTGAAAGATCCTAAGAGGATTCATTGTAATTTCATTTCAGTTGAAAAAACTCATGTAATTTGCAGCAACCACACAATTAATAGATATCTTGATATACGTTTTTAGGTTGTTCGTTGTCATGACTCAAGATCATGACAAGTATGATTTGGCATGTACCATCTGTAATCTTGTTGTGTGAGAAATCTGTGTCACCCCCATCATCAATCGCGAAATATAACTTGGTCTGGGTCGTACACACATTGTGCACATGGTCTGGAACCCTGTCGGCGACACTGCCGATGGTCCCATGCAACCAGCAAATGAAGATCTCGATAGATCGTATGCCAGTAGCAGCATGATTAGACCATCTAAACTTATTTAGCCATGCACGTAATCTTCCGGAGTGAACCAACAAACCTGCCTCCATTCGGGAATTAAATCAAAACCTTGTTAATACTCTACTAATTTGGCCCATAAAATCTCTCCTAATCCCGTTTCATGTGATTGGTTAGGGCCCATAAAATCTTATAACCCCAGCTTCCACGTAGGGTTTGGTTAGCTTTTTTTTTTTTTTTTTTTTTTTTTTTTTTTTTTTTTTTGTGATGGAAATGGATTGAGTGGCATGTCACATGTTGCCTGCCTAGCTTGCTGCTGGCTTTTAGGTTAAGGGTTGTTTGTTGGCAAGCAAGAAAATTGGATCAAATGACCCACCACCACATCCACATCCACCCTTAAAATGTCATGCTTGTTGGTGATAATTAATGTAACCTAGAACTCTCCACTCCAGGAGAGAAACATCTTGGGTGTAATTGTTTTACTATTTTTCTCGCTACGTGATCATTATTTGATAAGTCACGGTACATTCGCACATTAATATTACTATGAAAAAGGTTAAAGAAAGCATAGACAACTAACTTCATCGGCCTCTCAAACTAAAATATTCTTCCTCAAGTGTCATCGGTTCATTCATCTAACTACCAGGTAGTGCAACCTAGTGAGAAATTTTTGAGAGTGACGGGAACACCACCTCAACAAAGCCAGATGGTGTTCCCAACCAATTAAATGTTGACAGCTAGATGTTGTCATTTGTTCACTTAAAAAATACTTGAAAAAGCTGAAAACTCAAAAACCAAAAGATTCCTCATAACTCTGTTAACATCTCCGTTTCTTTGTTTCAAATCAAAAGCTTTTTGCAAACTTCAAGGGAAGTTGCAGACTCACTTCCCTCTTCTTTCTTTGAAAAATAACAACAATTCCCTCCATTTCTCACAAACTCAAACCCAGACCAAGGTATTATGGATGGAGACTTAAACCCAGACCAAGGTATTACGGATGAAGACTCAACCGCAGACGAAGGTAGCTTTCTGCAGGTAGCCTCAAACCCAGATGAAGGTATTTGATTTTGCCTTTGAATAAGTTGTATGTGTGAGCTCTTAAAACATTTTGCATGATTATAGGACATTGCTTTTTTGCTCTTGGCCATGATATTTTTTTTTAATAAAATCTGATTATTGTTGATCTCCCAATGAATAATGCAGTCATTGATATTGAAAGCAATGTAGAAAATATTCAATGCAATGCTCGAGAAAAAACTCCACCTATTGTAAGTCTTGAAGAGAGTTATGTTGGAGATTTGTATGGAAAGATTGTGAAAAATGAGCAAGAAGCTTATGATCTCTATAATGAGTATGCAGCACACATTGGCTTTAGCATTCGAAAGAAACAAAGAAGATATGACAAAAATGGAGATCTTTCAACACTTAATTTTTGTTGTTCAAAAGAAGGTTTTCGGCAAGATAGTGACCCTTGTGAAGAGAAAAAGACTAAGAGATTGGACGAGAGAACAGGCTGCCAAGCCAAAATTCGATTTTTACTAGAAGATGGTGAGTGGAAAGTCTCTACCTTTGATCCTGAACACAATCATGAACTTGCAATGCCAGAGGAAAGACAATTTTTAAGATCAAATCGTAAAATTTCAGAAGCTCATATGGGTGCGATTAAAACCATGGCGAATGCAGGTATAAGAACTACAAATACGTACTCATATTTAGCAGAAGAAGTCGGTGGGTCTCAAAATGTTGGGTTTACGAAAACAGATTGCTACAATTTTGTTAGTAGGGAAAAAAGAATTATGCTTGAAGCAGGGGATGCTCAAAGCTTGATCAATCATTTTAAGCGCAAGCAAGCTGAAGATCCAATGTTCTTCTACACGGTGCAAGTTGATCAAGAAAACCGAATGACTAACTTTTTCTGGAGGGATGGAAGGTCCAGAATTGATTATGAGTGCTTCGGGGACGTAGTAGTATTTGATACTACATATCGAACCAATAAGTACAACATGATTTGTGCTCCTTTCGTTGGAGTTAACCATCACTGGAGTAATGTGTTGCTGGGTTGTGCCTTTTTGTTGGATGAGAAGACTGCTACATTTGAATGGTTGTTTGAGGCATTCTTAGAATCAATGGGGAATCAAAAGCCTATAACCATTTTCACTGACCAATGTCAAGCTATGGCAAATGCCATTATGGTGGTGTTTCCTGGGACATGCCATCGTTTATGCACATGGCATATATCAGTGAATGCTACAAGAAATATACCAACACTTTATGGAATCCCTGAGTTCAAAAAGCTATTCAACAAGTGTCTTGACGGATGTCAAACAGAGTTAGAATTTCAGCATACTTGGGATGCAATGATTGAGGAATTTAACATTGCACAAAACAAATGGCTTAAAGGTCTTTATGCCATTCGTGAGAAGTGGTGTCCAGTGTTTAGCCAAGATGCTTTCTCTGTGAGGATAAAATCCACACAAAGAAGTGAGAGCATGAATAATGTTTTCCACCGTATGTCTACTAAAACAATGACTCTTACTGAATTTGTGCTTCATTATGAAAAACAAGCAAATGGCATGCGTTCAAAAGAATTAGAAGAAACCTTTCGTTGCAAGCAAGGTTTGCCTTCTACAGCAGCTAAAAACAGTGGTTTTCTTAAACGTGCTGCAAGTGTCTACACAAGAAAAATTTATAAATTTCTTGAGTATGAGTTTGTTGGCAGTTTGGCGGTAAAAATGCGTGAAGTTGAAAGTGATGGAACCCTCCAAACCTTTGAACTTAATGAGGAGGGTCACAGAACAGTTTATGTTGTCAAATTCAATTCCTCAACTTTCAACATCTCATGTAGTTGCAAGAGGTTTGAATCCATGGGTTTGTTATGTCGTCATGCTCTACGGGTAATGAATGTAAAAGAAGTTTCTCAAATACCAAATCAATACATATTGAAGCGGTGGACGAAAGACGCAAAGAAAGAATGGAATGAAAATGAGCATGGAGAATCTTTACATGTAAGTGACAATTTGTCAGTGACGTTACGTCGGAATACTTTGATGCGGATTGCTTATGGTATATTGAGTATGAGAGCTGAGACAGAAAGTTGCCATAGAATTGCAATGAAAAAATTGAAAGAAATGGCACAATTGCTTGACAAAGAAATGAAGTCAAATGGGGAAGAAATTGCTAATAAAGAAAGCAATGACGTTTTGAATGATGCTACTGTTCGTGATACTGATGGAGTCAATAACTCAGCTGATGAGGCACCGGTGTTGAATCCTCCGAGTGTGAGGCCAAAGGGAATAAGTAATGCTAGATTGAAAAGTCATATGGAGAAACGTAAAAAGAAGACATCAAATGTTCTTGGCTCATCTAGTAAGAAACTTGTACATTTTAAATGTTCACATCTGTGTTATTCTTCTTATATATATATATATATTAATAGTAGTTGTTATTTACTGGTTCAGAGAAAACCAAACCACCAAGTAGTGGTGGTCCTTCACATACCGCCAATGCCAATGTTCGTTTCCCTTCAACTAATCAGGTAACTAATATGTATGTTTGATTTGGATTTTCTATATACATTTTGCTTAATTATTCATATTCGATATTCGATATCGATCAATTTTTTGTAGTTCTATCCAACTATGACAATGCCAATTATTTATGTTGGGTCTCGTATCAATGTTTGTAGTTCTATCCAACCACGAGATTGTCAACCACCAATGTCCAGACTAGTTTGCCTTTATCTAATCAGGTAAACAAGTTTATAGGTTTGAAATTTGTGTTGGTGTTGTCAATATTTATTTATTACAATTTTCATTTTTCTTTTAGAGTCCCAACTACAGTTGGTCATGTTCCCCACCAAACTTTGCCTTCACCAATGTGCTCCAAAGTCAAAACTGTATGACACATTTAAATCAGGTATTGTGTTTTTCCTTCTACCTTTTGCTTTGAATTAGGTATTTGTGTAAATTCTTTGTTGAAGTTAAATTCTATGTAATGCAGGATGCCTTTCCTTGTGGCTTTGAGGAACATGAAGATGCTTGTAACTCCTAATTCTGATCATTTTAGAATTCACGTCAAGATTTCAGTGGTTTTGACAAACATCAAGTTCATGAAAGAATGTTTTCTTGTTGTACTATGTTAGACTTATTATCATAAATCTGAAGCTCCATAATTTGACATTAGAATATGTGGCTTGGAAGTTTGGAATTTGACATTAGAATACATATGACTTGAAAATGGTTAAAGTTGATTTTAGATTAAAATGTGATGGTACAAGAAGTTTGGAATTTGACATTAGAATACATATGACTTGAAAATGGTTAAAGTTGATTTTAGATTAAAATGTGATAGTACAAGAAGTTTGGTTTAACCCCAGAAATGAGTTTGGGATTTAACCCCATATAGTGATTAAAGTGTCAGATTTGCAAATATAGAATGCAGGACACGGACATGAGAAGTCTTGTAACTTTACCTTCATTAAATCTTGGGGCGACAACCATTTAGTGGAGACTAGAGATGATCAATGAAGTTGATAACAAACCATTGATCATCCAATTTTCTTGCTTAGACCTCTAGATTGCATTTGGTAGCTCCAGTAAAACGGCATAAGGTTTTCTTGTTTTCTGAGTTGTGAACAGGTAATAAATAGAGTTTGTTTGAATTTATGCAAGTGTTGTATGAGGAAGGAACAGAGCACAGGCTGTGTTCAATGATACTCACATGTGCAAAATGCTAATCCTATGGTCTAAAGCTAACTGGTTTTTAGTGTAAAATCCCTAATTTCACTGCATTTGGATTGATCACAGTTCCTGACTTATTAAACTTAATATCTCCTTGTACATTTTGGGAACTTGACAGCTTAAAGAAGTGCTCATAAAAGCAAATTACACAATATCTACTAAAAAAACTTAGAGAAGGGACTCAGTTAGTCAACAAACATGCACCTCACACTTAAATATTAAAGAACAAAGAGAGAAAACCAAGCCGAACTCTTCAAAATTCGTTGGCACACATGCCTCATTGGCTCAATTGAATGTATAATGCATACTTAGATAAAACAATTCGAACAGTAGCTCAGAAACAGTGCTGAAATTCCATTAGCACTAATCACACACTGCCGGAACAGAGATCCTAGCAAAGCTACACCAATTAAATGATAAAGACTAAGAACCATAAGGATGAGGAAGAAGATGGACTTCAGATTGCTGGCAACCCTGTTGTGATGAGGCCAAGTCTCCATCCAGAATTTGGAAAACCCCTAAACTAGAAAAGCAAAAAAATTTGGCAGTTGCCCTGTTGTGATCACCCGACGACGCAAAAGCTTTTCAATTGAAATTTAGGTTTGAGTCTGAGAAAACAACTTCAACATTTAAGGTTTTCAGACCACTTATTCTACCCATAAAAATCTAACAAAATTAAAAATCATACATGCAGAAAGCTAAATTAGGTTTAGGGCAGCTCTACCACCGCTTGCACCGCCACAACAAAAATAACCAACAACAACAACATAAAGTGTAAGGGCAACGGAGGCCTTGACAACAAGAAGTTCAGGTACCGCAGCGTGCGTCAGCGGAGCTGGGGTAAATGGGTGGCTGAGATTCGTGAGTTGCGTAAGCGCACGCACAAGTGGCTCGGGACCTTTGCCACGCTGCCCGCTCCTACAACCGGGCCGCCATCATCCTTTACGGTTCTAGGGCCTAGCTCAACCTCCAGCCCTCCGGTTCCTCGTCCCAAAACTCCACGCAGGGCTCCTCCACCTCTTTGAGTCTACCTTCGTCTGGGTTTGAGTCTCATGGCCAAGAGCAACAATAATCAGATTTTATTCATTGGGAGATCAACAATAATCAGATTTTATTAAAAAAAAATATCATGGCCAAGAGCAAAAAAGCAATGTCCTATAATCATGCAAAATGTTTTAAGAGCTCACACATACAACTTATTCAAAGGCAAAATCAAATACCTTCATCTGGGTTTGAGGCTACCTGCAGAAAGCTACCTTCGTCTGCGGTTGAGTCTTCATCCGTAATACCTTGGTCTGGGTTTAAGTCTCCATCCATAATACCTTGGTCTGGGTTTGAGTTTGTGAGAAATGGAGGGAATTGTTGTTATTTTTCAAAGAAAGAAGAGGGAAGTGAGTCTGCAACTTCCCTTGAAGTTTGCAAAAAGCTTTTGATTTGAAACAAAGAAACGGAGATGTTAACAGAGTTATGAGGAATCTTTTGGTTTTTGAGTTTTCAGCTTTTTCAAGTATTTTTTAAGTGAACAAATGACAACATCTAGCTGTCAACATTTAATTGGTTGGGAACACCATCTGGCTTTGTTGAGGTGGTGTTCCCGTCACTCTCAAAAATTTCTCCAACCTAGTACACAATTTGAATTAGACCCCTTTTTTCTTTTTAGGAAAACTAATTAAAAATACTTGAAAACTTTGAGTTTTAACAATAAGAACAAAATAAATGGTAAAGTTAATAGTATTATGATTGACTTTTTAGTGTAAAAATGTGGTTTTTCGTTAAAGTAAACAGTACTAGGAACTTTTCATTAAAATTCCCTTCTTTTTTTTTTTGAGAAATTATTTTCACTCTGCTTTTCCCTCAGACACTCCTCTCATATATGTTCGTTGATAATTGTTTTTTATTTTGGGAGTTTTAACGAAACATTTTCAGTACTGTTCACTTTTAACGAAAAATAACATTTTTACCTTTCCTGATACTATTCACTTATACTTTTAAAATATGAATCATTTATTTTTTCAATCCAAATACCGTAATAAAAAGAGGGAGTGCGGAGCAGATAAAAGACTAACCACTTTTGAAATATGAATAATTTATTTAGGGGTCTAACATTGAGGGGAATCTAGCATACAACGGGACACTTACATTATTTTCCACGTTATGTGCCCTAATGTAATGTAAGAAAAAAGAGCGATATCCCTCGACACGAACAAAAATCTCCTCCTGCAATCACTGGGCATAATTACAACAAATTGGTGGCAATGGTAGTTGTCAAAATACTTTCATGTGTAAGAATTTAATAAGTGAGTTTTTAGTATTTCGAGAACATGTACAATTGGTTACAAACTTGAAAAAAAAATTCAATCTATTGTATTATGACAGTTAATATATCAAATTATGTTTTCAACACCTTACAAATTTCTTGTATCACATAATTAATTCGATAAAAGCGACATTCTATCATCTCGTTTCGTTTAAGTAATTCTTTTTAAATTTTGACCGACACCAACTTGTTTGTATTCTATTTTTGGTTAAAAAAAAAAAAATAAAAAATAAAAAACCATTAACTCAGCTTCTCCCTAGCTTCGGAAGTTTCCATTCTCAGAGTCACTGTTGAGAGATGGCGACGGCTAAATGGCGGTGATGGGTTGGATGGTAGCGCCGACGACGTGGTAGTATGAATTGCTCCAAGACCGTAGTTTTCATCTGGCTCCTCTACGCCTTGCTCTTCTACTCTCTCTTCCAAATGGCCCTCCGGAACTCCGACTCCTCACGCAATTACACCTCTGCCTCCGGTAAATTCAATTCCTTTTCCCTTCACTCTCTCACTATTTTCTGTTTGGTTCCCGAGAATATTTCTTAAATCACAATTTCCGGCTTCAGATTCTGTAATTTCGAACAAGGAGCGGAGGTCCGCATTGTACGATCAGATGGGTCGGGATTTGGCTGAGCACGGACCGGTTTTTCTCAAACACGGCGGCCAGACCTCCCAGTCTCTGTCCCTTTCTGATATTTTTACTATCAGGGATGGATCTGTAGCACCTGTACTTAAGGTAATATTAATTAATTGATTAATTAGTTGATTAAAGTTTTAAACTTTGGAGATTTGGCTAATTGGGTTTTGTCATGTGTGTGTTATATGTAGGCAGCAAATCCTCCTGTTCGTGCTAATGTGTTGTATCTGAGCACACAGTACTCGCTTCCGATTTTGTAAGTATTTGGCTTTGTTTCTCATAGTTTTGTTCTTTCATTGTGTTTTCGGGTTCAAATTATCGATGCTAATAGGGAAAGAAACCATTTTTGAGCTGATATTAGCAATGTTTTTGTTGTGTTGATCGTTGATTATATGCGTGAATCGGAATTGAGCGTAGAAGTGAAGTCGTCCACATTAAAGTTTAGAAATTTTGTTTGTGGGAGGTGTTTTGCTGCAAGATTACAGGATTAGGGACAATTTTTATAGGTTCAGCTTTTTGCTCTTTCGTTAATGTCGTGCATTCGTGGTTGGCTTGTTGCAGGAAGGCGCTCAAACCTATACTCGATCCTTACTTTGATGAAGGTAAGGTACTTTTGACAGATTACATGATCATAGCCCAAGAGTAACAGAGTAGTTTGTCTATTTTTCAACTCTCACTATTTACCATCTTGGCCAGCGATCTGGTTTCAGAACTCAAGTTTATATCATTTTAGTATGTTTCATGCCTCGCATCATATTTCACCTGTTCCTGCTACTCCAGATGAGGTAAACTGTACTTTTAGAGCCATTTTTGTGTTTCTTAACATCATTTGCTTTCACTTATACATCGGTTTGGTATCAATTTTGAACCCTGTATTTGTTTTTTCTTTCCTCAGATTGAAGCTGAAGCAGCTGCCGTTAGGAATACTGCAGAGGGTCTCTGCCCTTTGAAAATTGTCTTGGACAGGGTGGTCTTAACTTCAACGGGTGTGCTTCTTGGGTGCTGGCAGGTTATTTTCCTTAACCTATATACTCACCTTTTTCTTTCTCCCGGTCTCATAATGTATGCGAAATAGGAATATATAATCCTTATAAATATAGAGTATTAGAAAAGTTTCAATTTCATAACCATCAAAGGAACGATATAACCAAGAAACTATTTTCTGGAATCACTCTTTTGTATTTACCATTGTGTTTTATTGTAGGTAACCTCTGGATCAGATCCTGTAACCATTCGAGAAAAATTGAGGACCGCGCTTCCACATGCACCAGAAAAGCAACTTGTAAGAACCATTTATCCATCTTAGTTCATTTTAAACTAGTACAGTATCCCAATACTGTGCAGACTAAGAGTTGTCAAGTTTACCAATAGAGTACTCTTAATGACTTGAGATCATAGGAGAACTCAAGCTTAGGAACCGAGGTTTTAACGGTTTAGATATGTTTGAAAGTGAACGATTGCAATGCTTGCTTGAGGTGACCATCTCCTGTTATGGAACTTCTTCCTTTCTGATTCATCTTATCGGCTGCCTTACTTTGTTAAACTATAAGAACTACATGGTAAAAATCCTGATGTGGAACTCATTGTGGCATGACAGATCTCATCGTCATAACCTGGCCTCATTAGGACGTTATGAAATATTATTGGTAGACTGACAGTAAAAATCCTCCCGTATCTTAAGCATTTAGCACTTACTAATATGCAGCCATTGTCTCCTGCAGTATGATGCTGCTATTCTTCATACTTCATTTGCAAGGCTTCTTGGTCACCCCAAAGCATCATCCACGGTAGTACATCGAATGACTCTTAGTTGCCTATCTCTTTGCGTAGCATCATATGTGCGTGTTTTTAATATTCTGGTTCCAATTTATTAGGTGATCTTTTGAAAGTTTGATTCCCAATCTCGCTTCTACTTTTCCCAGAAACTTGGCTTGTTTTCTAATCACTTTTCAATTTTCATAGTTTGTGAAATTTGACAGTTCTAGAGTTGAAGAAACATGTCTCATCTCATATCATTCTAACATTGATTGCCGTTATAACTGTTTACATTTATGTTCTGTTGTTTACGTAGTCTTGTCGTTTTTGTCATTTTCAGGTGCTATCTAATACTTCAGAACAAGTCCACTTCTTCCAAGAGCTTGTTAATCGTCTAAACAATGAACTCCAAGGATTGGAGGTGAGTTGTTATGCCATATATTATCACTCTACATGCGTGATTCATAGTATGCGTGCATCCATTATATATTTTAGTCTTGCAAGGTCCTCTAAAATCAGTTGCATTCAGGCTGTGGTATCCGAGCTCTGGTATGTCGAGGAATTCGACGTTTTGGCTCTGGCATTGAACGGAAGAATGAAGGTTCGCAAGTTTCAACTTGGCTGCTCAAGAAGTTGACATCACGATTCGCCAGTTTCACAAGTATAAACCCAAAACATATCTTCACAAGGATATTCCCTCACAATATCTCACATCACATGCATATATTGTACATTTCCTTCAGTTAAAGAACACTAGTTATAGATATGTCCTTAAACCGTGTTTGTTTTACAAGTTAGTTTTCCATCGAAGCACGTTCTCCATGTTGGCGTGTGAATTCGCACCTTGTTCTGAACTGAAAATCTAAAGAAAATAATCGATGGTGTGGACTTGATGAACGTTTCTCGAACTTGAAAGTACCTTATGATAAAGGAACGCGTAACGGCGTATATCATGTGAGGCATGGAACATGCTAAAGTGGTACATGCTTGAGCGCTGAAAGCAGATCATTAGCAAACAGAAACGGACGCATTACGGCATAGGCCGGAAACCAACTGGCGAGTTAGGTCAGGGATGTGTTTTTCAGGGCATAACCACTCTGCAGTCGTTAGACGAAACTCAACCTTGGGCAAATTGTTATTTTTTAGGTTTTATTCCCCCCAAACCCAACTCAACCCATGCTAAATGTGTGGGTTATAAGCTAAAAGCCAAACAAAAGCCAAATTCCCCTGGAGATTTAGCCTAGAAAATGGTGGGCACCACCAGCGGGATCCCATCCACATGGGCATGTCTCTTAGGATTTATTGAATTCAACGGTTTAGATCGAATGTAATCAAATCTAACAGTAAAAAAAAAAAAAAGATCTAACGGTCTAAATTTAAATCCAATGGCTAAAATAATTAAAAAAATTATTTAACTCAAAATTCATCTAAATTTAGTGATTTTTCAATATTTATCGGAATTTAAATATTTTTAGGTTAAAATGTTCATAAAATTAAATTATGATAGTGTACATAATTTTATTTTTAAATTACTTAAAAAGAAAAAAATTAGCCTAAATTTATTCTTTAATAATCTCGGACTAAAAAATTTAGGCTGGAAGCGTTAGAGTAGAAAAATTGTTTCTGGGCTAAAACCTAAATTTTTTGGGCTAAAAACTTTAGGTTTTAGCTCAAGGGTTGGAGATGATCTTAAGGGGCTGATAAAACCCACACCCTATGACCGAGTTTGCAAATTCAAGCTCCAAGTAATCTCATGTGGAAAGAAACAAATCACTCATATACAGTGCTTCGCCGTCTCTTACTCAAGAAACGTCGAATACGCAAATGCACGTAGTCACATGTGACTTTTACTTGGGCTGGCGAGATAATTATTACATGTGAAGTATCGACTTGAATATCGAATACTTAGAAAAATCACTCGTGAAAAATGATGAAAATATATATATTTGATATGTGTCAACTTGGGGTGACATGGATGTTCTCATGGATGGCACACGCCTAAGTTTTGCTACAAAACATAAAAATTGCAGTCACTTTCAGTCACGCTTGGAAAATACGTATGCCTCCCCGTGGATGCCACAAGCCTCTCTTGCCAAACAAGTCCTTGTTGTAAATAGCTTTTAGAAAAATAAAAAAATAAAAAAAAATAGACCGCTCACATTTTATTTGAATACAGGATTTTGCCCAAAGTCAATTGTCAAGTAGGCAATTAGTCACGATTGATCAAATTACGTGCGTGGACGAATAACTATAGCATGACAAATGGTCATCGATCAAAAACCACATATATGCGTGTAGATGATTGACACTAACATAATCAAATCTAGTAGAGGAGAAGATTTCTACGTATGAGAAGATTGAGGTGTTACGGTGATTTGTTAAACATTGCTATATGTTTTGACTAGAGATATCACAACCTGACGTTCCAATTAAGAGAAAAACTTATATACATGTTACCAGCACAACATCCTCATGACGTCTCATGTTAATAACACAAAAGTAACGTAGAGAGGGTTTTACACAATTTTTATATCATTAGTTCATCATCCAGGGTTCATGGTTCACTCGGGTAATGATAGCAAGATCAGCAATTTAAATTATATTTTATAAATTATATGACGTGGTTGTTGATAATTGAATTATTATTAAATATCAATTAATGTACTTATGTTATATTAACGACACATCACATTGTTTACAAATATAATCGAAAAAATTTGATCTTACTGAGCATTCCTCTAATTAATAAAAACGGAATGGCACGAGGAGAAAGAAGTAGAAATGTAGAATACAAGGGGACGCAAGCCAAAACTCACAAGAAGGAAGGTCACGTGTCTGGGTCCATTACACAGCAAGAAGGCGAGCACTCGGCACACGCCCTCCGCTGCCTGGTTTTCTCCCGCCACACTCTCCGTCTTCCTCCTCCCCTAAACGCCAAGCGTAACAGTTAACTAATTCAATCCCTTACATTTTATATCTGGATATGTATAAATCCCCAATTTTCCTCAGATTCCTGAGCTATTTGTCTTCAAAGTTCCCCAATTTTTCTTGATCCAAGACTCAATTTTTTTGTTCCCTGCATTTCTGTCTGCAGGTAACTAGGGTTTGATATCTGGAATTCTACATTTTCTGATCAAATTATGCAGCTTTTTGTTCGTATTTTTGTTCTTCTACTGCAAATATTTTTGATTTTTTTGATATAGCGTCTCTGGCAGTACGTAATTTCTGAAAAGCAAAGATTTTTGTAGTTTTTGTTGGTTTTGGGTTTGATTTTAATGGCTAATTTTGAATTTTAATAGTTTTTAGAATCTGCTAAGCTTGATTTGTGATTTTCAACTAGAAAATTGTAAATATGTTTTCAATTTATTGATTTTTTAGTGGGGAATTGAGTAGAAGTAGTAGTTGGGGAAGACAAAACTAGGGTTTCACTTTGAATGTCGATTGCGTGCTTCGATTATGTTAATTCAGCATGTTTTATATAATGAAGTGCAAAAATGTACGCATTGTTTGGATGTTTTGTAGGCTATAAAGGCTTATCCAGTTCATCGAGACGATCATGGGTTCGCAGGATCCTGTGCCGGCAGCTGGCAAGGGTAATGTTGCAACGGAGGCATCAGTGCGCAAGTAAGTTCTAGAGATCTTAAGTTTGGCATGATTGCATAAGTGTTGTTACGTGTGTTAGCAATTTTGTATTATCTTGATTGGATATAATTCTTGGAGTATAAATTAAACGTTGGAAGTTCATGTCTACATAGGAATGGTAGAACTTGCATTGCTTTAGAAACTTGATGCAAATTAGTGTAGCATCTGGAAAACGATTTGAAAAATGAAAATTTATAAATGGGGTATCCAAAGGAGTGTTTAAAGATACACACGGTCTGTGTATGTTGTGGCACTGAATCACTGATATAACGTTTGTACTTGTTCAATCTACTCGACCTTCTGGAATGTTGGATGTGTTACTCACTAGTTACTGATCCTGAATTAGCTTTTACAGTGCAAACTAGTGATGAATACATTTTGGACTAGAATTGTAGAAAGCTTTGGTATTTGTGTGAAGGGAAGAATGCATATGGTTGGTAGACTCGCATTATCGAGGTTAAAGGTAGTGTTGACATGTTGCATATCTAATTGACCAGAAGATTCAAACAAGGTGGAATTCTGAACTTGATTAGAGAATTTGAAATATTGACAGAAGTGTTCACTTAGGCTCTATTGTCAACAAGTATTTGATTCCTATTAATAAAGCTGATGTATTTTGGATAGATGACTGCACTAATTGTTGTTATTACTATCCTATGCCAAAAGCAATTTGTGTGAAGTTCTTTAGAGATGTGGGTAAAACACATCCAAGTGGGATAGCATGGCCGTTTATTTGGATAAAAAAAGCACACAGATTTCTTGGTTAGATGTTTAGGAAGCTATTTGATGTGAAGGGCTTGTCCTGGAATAAAGAAACAGGGGAAAATTCCGAAAAGAATCCACAAGTCTGAGAGGGAGAGAAAGAAGCGTGAGCGTTTTAACGAGCATTTTTTGGAGCTGGCTGATGCTCTTGGTAAGTTCGTTTTATCTACAAGAATTTCACTATAATTTTGTTTTTGGCTGCAGTTCGTCTTACATTGATTTGTAGCTTCATTATTTGGTGTAATCATTTTTGATATGATGGTGGGTCGTTCTTAATTTGAGATAACTCTTGTGCAGAACTGAATCAGCAGAACAGTGGAAAGGCCTCCATACTAAGTGAAGCTACTCGACTGTTGAAGGACTTGTTTGGTCAGATTGAATGCTTACAGAAGGAAAATGCATCCCTGTTGTCTGAATCAAATTATGTAAGGCATTCAACGTCTTTTTATTTTGCTACTTTTCATGTTTATAGAACATATATACATTATATGTGTACTTGTAGTTATCTTAGCTAATTCCCTATCGGTCTCTTTGAATCATTCCTCATCCATCAGTGTTTTGTTAGAATGGAGAAAAACTCGTATAGTAGTAGTGCATTGTTTTAATCAATCATGTTCTCACAAGTTCTTCAATAATTGAACAGATGACCCTTGAGAAGAATGAGCTGAGAGACGATAATTCTGCCTTAGAAACTCAGATCGAGAAATTGCAAAGTGAGATACAAGAGAGGGTGGCACAGTCTAAACCGGATCTAAATGCACCACCTTGCACAGAATTGAGACCAGAAGTTGCCTCCCATTTTACCGGAAATTGCATCGGATTTCCCACTCAAGAACCCGGCTTGCAGCAACCACCTGCTGTCTTTGTTATGCCCGTCGGCCCTGATCTCCAAGCTTATCCACAGCCGGATGTCGCCCACCTCACATCTAACACCACCTCACATGTGAGCAAACCGCATGCTAGGTATCCAACCTCGGTGGATTCTTGGCCGTCCCAACTTCTCGGTGAGAAACCAACCGCAGGCAACGGGTTTCGACAAATCCGGGAAAACGACCCTAGTATAATGTAAACCTTGTAATTGAAATGATTTATGTGCAATGCTTCACCTTTTGTTAGGTTTAATTGACAATGCCCTATATTTTGTAGTTTGTATATTTCATAATGTATGAAGAAAAAGGGACCATGTCCATTTTGTATGAAAATTTTATTATGTTTCAGGGTGTTTTATATTTTAAGGTTTTTGACCGTTAAATCTTTGTTACTGTATATTTGAACAAAAATCTATCGGTAAAAAATCTCAAAATATTATAGACTGAGCATGCTAGAAAATCCTCAAATTTAACATCCGTAGTCCTTGGAGGATTTGGATCCTCTTCGAATCCTCTCCCTGGAGATCTTGGGGATCAAGACACAATGATTGTTCATCAAAGATCGTGCGGTCATAATTAAATATTTTTTACGCAAAATGAGATTACTTTACTTTTAAAAATATAAAAAACATTTAATTGTGACCGCACAATCTTTAATGAACGGTCCTTGTATCTTGATTCCCGAGATTTCCAGAAAGGAGATCCGGAGAGGATTCAAATCCGTCCTTGGATACTCAATTTGGTGTACTTTTAATTGACATTCAAAACTTCATTTGTCATGCATTACAGAGCATAATAAATTTTTCGATCCCTAACTCAACCTACTACGACTCAAAAGTCTTTTCTTTGACTCAATCTTTGTCCTTTGAATAAAACAGGACAACAGTAACTCCCATGAGACCACTCAATAATTTATCATCAGACCTTTTGCTTTTGCTTTTGCTTTTGCCACCCCGCGTATTCTTTGGTGGTGCTGAAATTGTAGGAAGCACCTGTCCCCTTCTACGGTTCTACCGACGCTTCACACACAAGCTGACAAAAAACCCTAGCTTATTCCAGAAGCGCTTTTCCCAGAAGCTCATACGGTTTCAGTTCAGAGAGTGGTAGATTTGCATTGGGAAGTCGGGAAATGGGATCTGGCACCGGCAGCTTCCTCAAAGTGCTTCTCAGGAACTTCGACGTTCTTGCTGGGTACACCCACACTCTCCTCTCACTCTCTCACTTACTTTACCAAATTTTGCAAACCCAGTTACAAAGTTTCGATCTTTTTTTTTTCTTCTCTAATTTGATTTGTGGGTTTTTTTTATCCTGCAGGCCTGTGGTTAGCCTTGTTTATCCACTGTAAGTTGGGTTGAAGACACTAACTTTTTTTTTCTTTCCAATTTTATTTATTTTTTCATTGTTTTTGTGTTTAATTTGAACTTTTTTGTAATGGGGAGTTGGATTTTGGGTTGTTTTCGATAGATATGCATCGATTCGAGCGATAGAGACGCAGTCTCCGGCGGACGATCGCCAATGGCTGACTTACTGGATTCTGTATTCTATGATTACTCTGGTTGAACTCACCTTTGCCAAAGTCATTGAGTGGTACATCATTTTCTACTTTCGAAATGTAGTTCCTTATTCACTTGTTTATAATCTCAGATTGCATTCAATGTGCTACTTTACGTTTGCTTAAGATATGAGACTCCGAAAATGTAGATTCCTTCGTTAAATTTTCGTGTAAAGATTTCGTCTTGCTGCATTTACCAGTTTTTTTCATACTGGTGCTTAATGGAAGATGTATGAAAAGTTATGTTCGAGTTCGCTTGGTTTGCGTTGTCCTGTCAGCCTTGTTGGGGCTGTAAACAGGTATCTTGCATTAGATTCAATGAACTCTCGAGCTGTTGTCGTTCACGAATGATGTGCCGTTGCTGCATTTGCTATGATTTTGTGTGTGTGTGTAATGTTCTCGAGCTTTTCTTGCAGGATTCCAATCTGGTCTTACGCTAAGCTGATTGCGACTTGTTGGTTGGTCTTCCCATACACGAGTGGCGCTGCGTATGTTTATGAACATTATATCCGACCTTTCTTTCTCAACCCACATAAAGTTAACATTTGGTATGTTCCGGGGAAGAAGGATGTATTGGGTAAGGCAAACCAAGACGACGTTTTGGCTGTTGCGGAGAAATACATTGCAGAGAATGGGATTGAAGCATTCGAGAAGATCATCCACAGGGTATATGCTTATTGACCATAATATTTGAATAATACATTGTAATGTGCTTATAACGTTGCATATCGGTTTCTGTAGGCTGATAACAACCAGAGGGGCAGGGCGATCCGTCTTTGATGAGGACCGTAAGTACTATCGAGAATATTAGCCATACGTTTCACTGCATCTAGTCCCGCGGTCTTGTAAAGAAGACGATGTTGGGCGTTACCTTTTCCATAGCTGGTAGCGTATCTGTATCTTTCGGTTTTGTAAACGATACTGAATGTTTCTTGTTTACTAATAATGTTGTTATCATGGTTTGGCGACATCTTTTCTCATACTTTGTCTCTTAAATTCAGTTAGTCCAAAATTTTAATTTATTTGCCTTGACTCAAAGTCGACATAAGCAAAAATTCTAGGATGCTCCAGAGTATAGGATGCTTCAGCTTTTCAACCGTTGGACCTTGGTTTTTGTGTTCTTGAATAAAGATCTAACGGTTAAACATCTCGGAGTGCCCTGTATTCTGGAGCAGCATAAAAAATCCCTAAGGTGGGATTAGCCGGGAAATTCGAACATCCGGCATCCGCCGTCATTTAAAACAATTTGTGCGTAAGCTCATACCTTGAGTAGTTAAGTACGAAGCACAGACTAATAGTTGCTTATCAAAGACCAAAAAGCAATAAAATTCGTCAAAAGTGCTTTGAAGAGAAGTTAGATAAAACAAGTTAACAAGATCTCATTTCAAGTAGAGTGTCTATTATTAATAAGATCTCATTTGTTTCGGTTCGCAACCATCTGTCCAGCACATACGAGGAATAAGTTCTTCAATTAATGGAAAGAGAGACCACTGATTCATCGGCTTGTTTCGACGCTAGTGTCTTGCACAGGCAATGTCCTACAATGTTGGCCTCAAAACTCAATGGTCAGTTTCTGTTTCGGCTTCAGCTTCCGCTTCTCCTTTGGCTTCGCCTTCATCTTCAGCTTCACCAACATTCAGCGATTGGTAGAGGTACTCCTGGGCTTCAGCAAGTGGTGATTCTTTTGCATCCGCGGCATACAATATCTTCTTTACTGCCACCGCTATCTGCATGAAATATAATCGCAAGTGTGATGAGTTGGTTCGTCAGATCACTTAACATCCAACATTCATACACAACGGCATATATAACTACTTTCATACACAACGCATATAACTACTTTCATACACAATGCGATATATACCTACTAAATCGCCCAATTTCAAGAGGGGAGGGGGCAGAGGCAGAGACACAGGAGGGAGGAACAGACGGACAGAGTATTGTTTCTAGTCAATACTAGCAAGAAATGCCAGCCTAAAGGAAAAGGAAGAAATAAATAACCTAACCTAGCTCCTTACGAAAAGAAAACCGAAGTCTAGATACATATAATCTCAAGATCCATTAAACAATTCCAATATTTTGCTTCAGAAGTTATTTTCTTTCTTCAGCTTTAGATGCAAAGCGAGATTTGAAAAGAAAGCATGATACCGGGAAAAGGAATATACATCATAGGAATACAATGCAACAATAAACCAAGTAATATAGAACAACATGTCAGAAATTCCTACCGGGACCTCCTCCAACTCTGATGTCTGACAAAGAACTTCAATATCCCTTAATTTTGCGAAGTAAAAGTCCCTTTCTTTTTCCAAAAGGTCCACAGAGAGCTTGAGATCTGTAATCTGTACAACAGAAGCATACAAATTAAATGAATAATTAAATGAAAAGGTCCACGCAAAGAGAGGGAGAAAGAGAAACGATTTCCTCAGGCAAGGCTAGATGCTGATACCTCCTTAGACAAAGCTTGAATCTCTCCTGAAGAATTTGCACCGCCTGCTGCTGCATAAGGCTTCCCTTGCCTTGGTCCTAAAGAAAACAGCATCAAGCAATGAGAAGCACTTTAAAAACTAAATAAATGGAGTAGAAACGACACTTTTGGTGGGGGAAGGTGATCTGACCTGAGGTCTTATTAAGACCAACTGTATCTCCAGTGCCAGGGTTATGTAAATTGCTTGCTTGCAGAGATTTTGAGATTTTCTGAGCACCTTTGGGATGCCGATCCTTCCCACCCTTGCACCTTCGCTCCACAGGGTTATAGTTTCTACAAGGAGAAAATATGTGAGTTGAAGGAAAAAGGGCCATTAACGTAACGCCAACACACACTAACCCAAAGCTTTAAAAAGAGAGGGGAATGTTAGAAAAACGAGCATACTCATTCATAATGCCACCATTTATGGAATCACAGTAACGTTTCAGCCATTGCAAGAATTCCAAGTTGTCCAAAGGCCTGCCTTTAACAAGCCTATTGACTTCAAGAGGCTGCAGAAGGATTGTGGTCAGTAAGAATATAAACATCTTGGTTGTGCTTGTTCCAAAGATTACCCCAATCCGGTTTCCCGGCTCACCTATATTAAAGTTTGCAGAATACAAACTATCCCAAGTCATGGAACCACTACCATTCACAAGTTGGAGTCCCTCCATTCGACTAGGAAAAAGAATTACAATAGAAGTACCACATATGAATACCACACAAGCTCTCTGTCAACCTTATTCTTCGATCATTAATAGCAAAGAACAACTGCTAGCCTTATCCTAGCAAACAGGTCATGAAGAGTGATATTTTCTTTTTCCTAATAGACAAACAAAGTTAAGACCAACCAACTCGTAAAGGTACCACAAATGAGTGGGAGACAATTTAGAGCAAACAACACCATAATATGGTATGGACCTACGAAACTTTATGAACAGTTCCTAGACATAAAGAATTCCCATGATTCATTCTAGCACCTATATCATAAGTTTTCATCTATACAAGATAAAGTATTCCCATGTGTGGTGAAGATCAATACATGCCCCACAAACAGAATTTTGATTGGATAATTCTTTATTCTAAAAGTGAGTATGTATTGGAGGTGTTTGTAAATAACTTTCAAAATAAGGTTATTCCTCGAAAGCCAACTATGAAAAAAAAGACAAGGAGGAGTGGAGGAGCATCGTAATGAAAATACCTTCTCAATTTTTAGCTTGTTGAATACTTCCTGTAGAACCTTATAATTCTGGATCATATCATATTCTGTTTTCGCATCAAAATTGACCTGCAATAAACCAAGTAGAAGGAGAGTGAAGAGGGAGCCAGTCCGGCAATTAAATGTTAATCCCACCACAATGTGCTGATCAAATAAATAAAAGATGCAGAGACGCAGATACCTTGTGCATTGGAACAACACCAGGATAGGTCATATCCATCATTTGACATTGCACAGCACCAGATGCAGCCTAGCCACATTTGTTCGCACCGTTATGATTACAAGAAGTTTAGTATTCGTTTTCAAGTGAAAAATTTTAAGATCAAAATCGCACAATGTGACTTAAAACAGTCCAATGAATACATATCACAATTCAACACGAAAGCTACTTTAGTTTCATCCATCCATCCTACGACTGAGTATAAAACTGTCGTAAATTGTCCAAAAGGGGAAACCCCGAGTTGCATTTAAGACCAGGGTTAATGCTATTAAACCTATTCGACATTAGACATGGGCTCACCCCATAAACAGCTCAACTAGAAGCAGTATACTACTTCTATCACTTAATTTGTAATCAAAACCCACAATTCAGTGTCGCCTCTAATCAATTGGGTCTTATCACTAACACACTTTCATAAATCTAAGCAGATAAAGCATTCAACTTTCCAATTATATATACGATTACTTCAATTGGGTCATACATTACCTTCAAATTAATGGATTAAAACATAGAATAAAGATAATTCAGAAAAAAAAAAAGAGCCCAGAAAGCATTTTTCAAAATGAACAAATGGGTAATGCTCAGATAAACAAACCCAGATCAAGATCGTTTCTTTTCGATAAACAAACCCAGATCAAGATCGTTGCCTTTCGACACCCACATTGTCAAAATCACAAAAAAAAAATAATAAGAGAGAGAGAGAGAGAGAGAGAGACCTCTTCAATGCGGGAGAGATTGAGCTGAAGGCGATTGTTGATCCACGTCAAAATCTCATTCCTCCCAACAAAGTAAGCACTGTCCATTATCCCAATGTTGGAAGCCATTTTTCTTCACCCAGAGTTTTCCCAATTCTTCCAATTCTCACTGACCCAGAGACACGGAAGGGAGAGGAAAATGCCCAAATAGAGTCAGAAGAGAAAGCAAAATGTTGTTTAAGTATTTAAACCGATGAGGATTAGGGTGTAATGAGATTTTCAAGGAAAAAAAATATTAAAATTCAAACAAAAATTCAAAATCAAAAAAAAAAAAAGATTGTGGAAACCGTGAGAAGCTTAAGGAGGATGGGAATTTAATGGTGAGAGAGAAGAGAGAAAAAGAAACGGAATTGGAAATTTGCACGACCGGCGCGCGCTGATATTTTGTAATCCGGAGGGTATCGCATTGTAACTGCATTTGGCAAATACAAGCGGGCGAAGAGGAGAGAGAGGATTTTGTTTTGTTTTGATATTAGTTAACTTTAATCCCTTTGTTTTATTAACTTAATCCCTTTGCCACTTGGGATTGATAGTAACTTTCTTCACGAGCAACGTTTATTTGTGGAGGAAGGAAAATTTGGGTGGAGGTGCTCCACCTTGTTATCTGACGTGCGATTAGTTTGAGACGTTACAAGTTTAAAGAAGTAAATGTAACCAAGAGTTGGTGATTCAAAGATAAATACTAAATTGCGAGGTTTCCTTCAAGTTAAAAATTAGAGGTCTTGGGTTCAAAACCCACTGCTGGTGTGGAAGCCTGTAGCCAGAAGAGACTGAAATGCCTCTGTGAGTCTTCTTGACCCCTGGAAGAGATGGATAACCGTAGCTTGCCACCAGTTGTCCATTTTTTAAAAAAGAAAAAAAGAAGTAAATGTTACATAGACCAAAATTTTAAACTAAATCTGTAAATCAAATGACGTATCACGAATAAGACTTCTTCTAAATCCATATTGAATGCCAAAGTCTTCGACCTTGGTGGTAATTGAAACCTTATATATAGCTTTGAAGGTTTCACCTATCTTGTGACAGCCCGTCCCGAGAATGTTGAAACGTACGTGTGAAAAGACTATTTTACCCCCAGTTCGATTTCTTTACGTTTTGTGTTATGTTTTGGGTTTTGTTGGCATGTTTTGAGCCACACACATTTTCCCACACTCCACAACCTTTCCTCCCTATTCCTGCACCCAGTCCCGAGCCCCATTCCTTCCCATTTTCCTTGAAACGTACGGACACACCCACAAACCCATCGAACCTTCACAGATCGAGGAAACCAAGCACATACTCATGCTCGTGAGGCTTGTAGGAGTCCAACCATACCTTTTTTAGGTAAGAATACCTTCGTTTTCACGTCGAACTCATGATGCCCGATTTTGGTACTGTTCATGCACACGTAATTTCTCACGTTTTAGGGAATTTCAAGCTTGTAGGGAGCTTGGTGGGGTCCCTAGGAGGCTCGGGGTGGTTCGTTTGAAGGTTTTGGACGTCGGGATCACGAGTTTCGAAGTTGGCCGGAGTTGGGGTGATTTTCCAGGTGAGATTTTGTGGTTTTTAGCACTTGAAAGTGGTATGATTGTGTTCCTCTCGTTGTAAGCTTCATTTTGGTACCAATTTCATGAAATTTGGTTGAAAAACGAAGAAGATAGGACGATTTGAAAAATTCCTAGTTTTCCGGCGCCGTCGCCGGCACCGGAGGCTCGCCGGAGAAGACGACAGAATATTTCATCAAATTTGACAGAATATTCCTGACGCCGTTGACGGTTACTGTTAGGAATAACGGAATATTCCTAACGGCGTCAGTTGATGCCGCCAGCGTGCCAGGCACGTGCCTGCGCTTGGCCGGCGCGTGGGGCGCGTGCGACGGTGAAAAATTATTTTAAAAATATGGGGATGTTCTTGAGGTTGAGTAGATCACGTTGGTGTATTCATACACCCCATTTGAGCATTGTATGAGAAGTTATTTCTAAAGGTTGGTTATGTGCTTTAAAATTAACGTTTTTATAGTTGTTTCGCATATAGGTGAGACGTATCCCGAGGACGAGCGTGGTCACTCGAGGCAGGGGGTTACGACCCTTCCACTTACCAGTGAGTGGGCTTTTGGTTTTCCGTATATACCTATATACTTATATTTTCCTAGAAATTCAATTAAATGTTTATTAGTTATATGCCATTTTATATTGTCAGTTGTTATGCATGATTAGTTGCATTTATATATATATATGTGTGTGTGTGTATGTATTGGTGCTGTGGACGCTCAGGTATGTGCCAGGTGAGTGGTAATTTATATTTACGTTTAGTAGTGATTTGAGGTACATAGAGAGCTCATAACCTGCACCCCGGTGTTAGTGCTCCCGCCCAGAGTAGGGCACAGTCCTTCACGTGATGTTCACCTCTCGCACCACACGCTCAGCTTGGATCCAAGTTAGGTGCACAGTCCTGTCGTACAGACCACATTAGGTGGTTCCGACTCGTAGGTGACCCGCGATTATTCGCCCAGCCTTCACGTGATCGTAGCACTTGAGCGTTTATATGTATTACACCCAGGCCTGTCGTACAGACCACATTAGGTGGTTCCGACTCGTGTGCAGGTTTAGTTACTGAGATTGAGATTTGAGCTCTAGATTCAGCCGTACAGGTCACGTTAGGTGACTCCGGCTGCCAGACCATATGTTATTGATATGAATTTTGCCTGAGCATTTGCATTCCATTTTGAGATTTTGGCATGGCATATATTTCCGAGCATGACTTATATATATATATATATGTATATTCTACTTTTCTGGGAAGTATACAGGTTTTACGGCGAGGGGTTAGAATCTTGTTTTTGAAATGGTTTTTGAAAAGATTTGTTTTTGCCCACTCACGCTTTTGTTTTGCGCCCCTCCAGGTTCTAGTTGACTAGCACGTTTGGTGGTTTCCCAGGGGGCTTTCCCGGCATATCTGACAGACGATCACCAGCGTAGGACCACCTTCGGATGTACTGTTGTTGCGTCATTTTCTTTTGGACTGCTTTAGGCTTATTGCTCTGAACTTGTGTCTCACTTACGCTAGCACTTGTTCTATTACCTTATGTATGCTAGTTTTATTTGTTCATACTATTTGCATTATTTTATTAGCTTCCGCACTGTGCACATGGTTACGTCACTTCCACGTGACGGCCAGCATGCCCTGATCTCGATCGGGGTGTGTCATATCTTCCATGTTTTGAATTTGAAGACGAGAGAAACCCTTGTTTGTGGGTTGATTGAGGTATAAGAAAATGTCTACATCTTATTTTTCACATCTTCTTTTGATGGTTAACAACAACGAAATTACAATAGATATCATTATGACGGGAGCAAGAGATTCAAGCAATGTCACATTAATAGGAATCGATCTTAATCTTTTTGTTCTATTGGGTACATGCATTATGCATGTCTCTAACTTTATAAACAATAGATGATTATGGTAAAAGATAATACAAAATGCCCACACACGGGTGAATTCAATTAAATTTTTGAAATATTTTATTTCTTTTAATAAATTTAGAAGTGTTCAATTAAGATTTTATTTGAATGATACACCCTCTATATGCATTTGAAAAAATTTGAAATCGTATGGGAGATAAATATGGGAGAGAAGAGAGAGAAAAATGTTGGATTTAAAGAGAGAAAATATTGGATTTAAAGAGAGGTGAGGGAAGGGAAAAAAACTTTTTGTACGAGATTATTTAATGTCCGTGATTTTTTACTTTTTAATATTTTTATTCAATTGTGAATAAAAAACCAAATCGTCCCTTCATATTTTTTTGGTTGATAAATATGGTTTTGTTAATAGGTAGTGTAAATTGTGAAAAATTATAATGGTTAATGATCCTCGATGAGAAAAAACCCTCGTTGAGTTTTTGAGGGCGTGGCTCTCCTCAGGAGGATGGACCGGTATAAGCTTTTGGACGAGGGACAGAACAAGCTCGATTATGTCTTGGCTTTGGCTGTCGAGAACTTCCTCGAACGCTGCCTATGTAGACGATTGTGTTCAAGATTGGTATGGCTATGTCCATTCATCAAGCCCGTGTGCTCATCAGGTAGAGGCACATCAGGTAGTCTTATTTGTTGCTACTGATCTATTTACATTTCATGTAATGTTTTAGGGTGCGCTTAGACGGCTTTGGAGGCGAGGCGGGAGTGATAACGCTTCTGCCCAGTGGGAGTGGGCGAAAACTCACCGAGGCGAGACGAGGCGGCTAAGGCGCACCTAAAGGCAGTTGGCGGGCGTTCCTAGATCCATCCACAACCCAAAATCGAAGCCGAATGCTCTGTTTTCAAGCTCTGCCATCTGGGTTTAGGGTTGCAAGCTGTGCGGCGTCTTCATGAGGAAGACGATCGAAAAGAAGAAGAGGGATTTTTAGTTTTTTTTTTTAAACTTGGTCCAAAACAATGTCGTTTTGGCCAAGTCTATAATTTTTTTTTAAATGACTTGGCCCAAAACGACATCATTTTGGCCAAGTATGTTTTTCTTTTATTTTTAAAACCCCATGAGTCCCTGTTTCCTTTGTTTTTCTCACATGTTTTCTCTGTTTTTCTCAGCAGTCCTCTATTATTTAAGGTCCAGTAAGGCATTGCCTCACGCCTAGGCTAGGCTATCTCTCGGACGCCTCGCCCACGCCTCACGCTTTTAATACATTTCCTTCATGTGACGATATTAAACTACTGAAAGGTGTTCTATTTGCTCATAGTTTGTGCTTGATCCAGAAACAAATGGCAGTACTGTCTATTACATCATTATACCAACAAATGTCATGCCGGGTTGTTGATTATTCGCTTAAAGAGAAACTTGGAGCTAATTTGTTATAAAGGTGAATGGAGGAGTTTTAGAGTTAGAACTCATGTTTTACCACTCTATATCCATCAAATTATCAGTATAAATTTGCTTCGATATTGATTCAAGAGTTGTTCTTCTTCCTGTTTCATTTCGATTTCTGCTAATAGAGAAGATGATATGGTGTTTGAATGGATCACATTGGTTACATATTATCAAACATCAACCAGTGTTTCGGTTGCTTGAGCTGCAAGGTGAACATTCCCTCATCCCTGGTGAGATGTGACTCCGAGAAGCACATCGATTTCCTACTTACTAGCCCGTTGGGCGGTGGACAGAGTGGAGCGAAGGAACGCGAAGGCGGCTGCTAGGAAGGCTGCTGGTGGAGATGCAGGCGAAGAGCAAAGCCGGCCTTGAAATTTAGGGCCCTGTGTGAAAGTGAATTAGAGGTCCTCAAATTGCGAATTTAATATTTTTTATTTTTAATTTTCAGTTTTGGTTTCTATAAATTCTAATAGCACAAACAAATATAACAAATCAACTGATAAAAAGGTGAATTGTTTTTTTTCTTAATTACTTAAAGGTCCAGCCACTTAGTACTACAATTTAGTGGTATTCTTCTTCACTTATAAGTGAGAGGTCTTAAGTTCGATTCTCGCCAAAAACG